TGTTCTTCAAACGTTTTACCCGAAAACAATGACATCGTCAAGGTAAATGAGGCACGTATCCCACTGCAAGCCCGACAAAACCAATTCCATAAGACGCTGAAACGTCGCCGGAGAGGAGTGAAGTCCCATGGGTAACCGGTTAAACTGAAACAGGCCCCCTGGAGTCCGAAATGCGGTCTTAGGCTTAGACTCTTCGTCGAGTGGCAACTGCCAGAATCCGGATAATAAATCAAGAGTCGAAAAGTATCGCGCACCAGACAATGCGTCGAGAGACTCGTCCATCCTGGAGAGCGGATACGCGTCGGCCACAGAGATCTTATTCAGGCGACGGAAATCGACGCAAAATCGCAGGGACCCGTCCTGCTTTTTAACGAGCACAATAGGCGCTCCCCAAGGACTGGAGGAAGGCGAAATAATGTCGGCTTCTAGCATATCGTTAACTGCCGACTGAACATGTTCCTTCTCAGCAGGACTCAGTCGGAAGGGATTTTGCCTGACCGGTGCCGCATCGCCCGTTTCAATGTGGTGGCGTAGCAGGTCCGTGCACCCCATGTCATACTTATGTTTACTGAAGACATCCGAAAATTCAATGAGCAACCCGCGCAGCGCACCCAACTGTACCGCTGATAAATCGTCAGAGTCCGCGCACAGCGAATCAACCCAATCGATGTCCTCCTTCAATGTAACGTTTTTCGTGGGACTCGGATCCGCCTGCGCAACCAGCCTCTCCTCCGCAGGGACCCGCGCCGTGTGAGCTAGCACGGTGCCCTGCTGAATGACGGCCGGCCGCGCCCCAGCGTTTAAAACCATCACAAACGGATCCCTGTCAGCCCCCACCAAAGTGTGAGCCACCGACAAATCGAGACCTCCAACAGCCCTATTAGAAGGACCCAAAAGCATGCCCTGTTCCGAGGCCTCCTTCACCCATGGCTTCCGCAACCGGAGGGGAATTAACATTTGTGAACCCGGGGGCACGTGCACGGTCTGTGTCGCTAACGCCTGTATGGTAGCGCACGCCGTCCGAATTTCATTAGGGCTCGTCAAAAATGAAATACGGCGACCCGATGGTAGTTCAATGCAACGCTGATCAATGAGAATTTTGATGGGCATTTTTGCCAAAAAATCAGTGCCCAATAGACAAGGGGACCGCCAGGGAGGACGAAACAAAAACGGGTCCCGACAATTTGATATCACCAATGCAAATGGATGCCCTAATCTGACCGATAATGCCCAACAATCCCCCGTTAGCGGCGTAAAATGGCACATCCACCGGAAGAAAGCGGACGACATTGTACAGGGAGAATATTATAAATGAGATCCGATATAATAGTCGCCGATGCCCCCGTGTCCACTAACACCCTGACCTCGACCCCATCAATAGATCCGGTAACTACGGATGAACCCGCTGAGGCAGCCACTATTCTGTGCCCCAACTCCGACCATTTAATGTCTCCCCGGTCCCGGCCGAATCGCCCTCTCTGAACCGAATCCCCGAACTCTACTCGGCTCTCCCCCGCCGCAACGCGACGACCCATATGTGCCGAGTATGCGGGCCGAGCATGTGAGGTGCCGCGACTTGCCGGGGTTTGCAGGGACGACTTGGGGCCTTGGTCGTCGTCCAGCCGAGGTCCCATGGCGCGCTGACGTGGGGCGCGGCAACCGGAGGCCACGTGGCCCCGGAGGCCGCAGTTATAGCAGGTGATGACAGTCGTCGGAGATCTCGGTTGCTCCAGCTTGCGGGCCGCTCGCAGAGGCGAACGACCCCCCGATCTCCAGTCCCCCGGTTGTCCCGCGATGAACGCCTCCTCTCGTGGGCTGACGACTTGGGGCACGGTGACAACTGGGCCCGGAGTTGAGGCCACGGCAGCGTTGCAGACGATTCCCTGTTTACGTTGAAGGACCTCGTGCGCTTGTATGCTTGTGGCGACCCGTAAGGATGAAATATCGGTCTCATCGGCCGTGTTGATGGGGACCCCCAGGTCCTGCGCCAACTTGAGCAGCTGCTCCAAAACCATGGCATCTTGGCCCTCCTCGTCCATACGAGGGAACGCGGCGTCGGCGAGAGCAAGCAACGCCGTGCGGTAGGCGAGCACGGTCTCCGTGTCCGCCTTCCGTCTTGCATAAAAATGATTGGCGGCACGCGGAGGGAGGACCATAGACCTTGGCCATGAGAGCCAGCGCATCTTTGAGCGTGGAGCGGTCCGACCTGCGTGCGGACGTGAAGGCCGCGAGCGCGTTGTCATCCAGCATGGCAGGCAGTGCCCGCAGTGCCGTAGCGTCGGACCAGGCGGACATCTCCTGATGCGCCAAAAATCTGCGCTGAAATTGGCTCCAATCCCCGCCTTCCGCCTTGAAGGCTGACAATGTGGGAAGGCGCTGCTGAAAAATGAAGTCGTCCTCCTCCTCGTGCTTCCTCTCTGCCGCCCCGCCGGTGTGTAAGATGGCGGCCCATCGGCGGGTGTGTGATGGCGGTCCGCCGCGCGCGTTGGTGACGTCAGCGGGCGCGCATGGAGAACCGCTGCCACGTGGTGATGGCCGTTCCCGCCAAAAGTCGGTGCAGATGAAATGGCGGCCATCGCCAAATCGTTTTGGCGGGAATCTGCAGGGCGACCCTGCAGAACGTCGGCCGCCGTTCCCCGCTCCTCTCGACGAGCTGATCTCCGCCAAGATGGACGCGGCGGCGAGCAGCAGCTCCGCCAGACGGGAGTGCGCTTCGCGAAGCACGGCGTCAGTCCCCCGTGGCTCGTCCGGCGCCGTCGGCGGATCCTGCCCCGTGGGCAACTCCTCTTCCTCACCCCCCGATGCCAGTTGACCCGCGTCGTCGAGGTTGTCCCCGTGGTCAATCCCGTGGGTCCGACGGTTCCTCCTTGTATCCATGCTTGGAAGACCGTTTCACTTCTGACGCCAGTTGAAGTATGGGAATTGACGGCAGGAACTTCTTGACGGGAACACACTTTTATTAAATCTTTACGTATCAAAATACAACGTGTGGTCTCCTTTCTTCCGACTTCACACTCCACTACTCTCGTGTAAACTCTAGGCCTCTGGCTACACACGATACCCTTCACTCGTGTAGACCCTACGCCTCTGGCTACACAATACACTCGACTCGTGTAGACCCTACGCCTCTGGCTACACAATACACTCGACTCGTGTAGACCCTATGTCCCTGGCTACACAATACACTCGACTCGTGTAGACCCTATGTCCCTGGCTACACAATACACTGCATTCGGCTCGTGTAGACCTTACGCCTATGGCTACACACACTACACTCGACTCTGGGTTACACAGAGTCCCGGTCCCGTTAGGACAGCGGGACTAGGTACCGCAGGGCCCTAGGTCTTCATCCCCGTCTTCATTCTTCGCTGGTTACACACTGCCCTCACGCCTGTGTGCATCCCCTTTTATAGCCCCTGCTCACGAGAGGCGGAGCTGATGCGTACTTCAACGTGAGCATCGCTCCTTAATGAACCAATCACGACGCACTCTCTCTACGATCCGTTTTCCCCAGCGCGTGTTAACACTCCTCCACCAATCACACCGCGCTGCCACCCGATCACTCCCTCTCAGCACGTCACCCGTCCACAGCCAATCAGTACCCCGTAACCCACGACCCCGCGCTGACCCCTGATCCTCCACCGTCAGCGCACGTCACCACCTACACAGCCAATCATTACGCGCTGGCATACGATCTCTAATCCCAGCGCGTATCACCTCTACACATATACACTTACACACGCACATATACATATACACACGCACATATACACTTACACACGCACATATATACATATACACACTTACACACGCACGCACACACACACACACATACACACTTACACACACACATATACATATATACTTACACACACACTTACACACGCACAGATATACACTTACACACGCACATATACACTTACACACACACATATACAATTACACACTTACACACACACATATACAATTACACACTTACACACTTACACACACACACATACAATTACACTTACACACGCACACACACACACATATACAATTACACACTTACACACGCACATATATACACATACACACGCACACACGCACAGATATACACTTACACACACACATATATACACATACACACTTACACACGCACATACACTTACACACACACATACACTTACACACACACATACACTTACACACACACACACACATACACTTACACACACACATACACTTACACACACACACACACATACACACACACACACACTTACGAACACATACACTTACGAACACACACACACACACACATATACACTTACACACACACACATACACTTACACACATACACTTACACACACACACATACACTTACACACACACATATACACTTACACACACACACACTTATACACTTACACACACACACACACACACTTATACACTTACACACACACACACATACAATTACACACTTACACACGCACATATATACACATACACACTTACACACGCACACACGCACAGATATACACTTACACACACACATATATACACATACACACTTACACACGCACGCACACACACACACACACATATACACTTACACACACACATATACACTTACACACACACACACATACACTTACACACACACACACACATACACACTTACGAACACATACACTTACGAACACACACACACACACATATACACTTACACACACACACACATACACTTACACACACACATACACTTACACACACACACACATACACTTACACACACACACATACACTTACACACACACACATACACTTACACACACCACACATACACACTTACGAACACATACACTTACGAACACACACACACACACATACACTTACACACACACACATACACTTACGTACACACACACATTTGATCCCCTGCTGATTTTGTACGTTTGCCCACTGACTAAGAAATGATCAGTCTATAATTTCATGGTGACCCCAATGCCGCAGGTCAGGGGTCGGGGGTCGGGGGTCGGGGGGTGGGGGTGAGTACCTGCATGAGCACGGCGGGACCCAGGTACTTGTCAGCGTTCCACCAGTAGCTGGGGCAGCTGGTGCTGCAGCAGGCACACAGGATGCACTCGTAGAGACCATCCTGCACCGTGCAGAGAGCGGGGGGGGGGGGGGGGGGGGGGGTTGAGGGGGGGGAGATAGGAGAGGGGGGGGTGAGAGGTGGGGGTGAGAGGGGAGAGGGGGGGGTAAGGGGGTGAGAGGGGAGAGGGGGGAGAGTGAGAGGGGAGAGGGGGGGGTAAGGGGGTGAGAGGGGAGAGGGGGGGGTAAGGGGGTGAGAGGGGAGGAGGGGGGAGAGTGAGAGGGGAGAGGGGGGGGTAAGGGGGTGAGAGGGGAGAGGGGGGGGGTAAGGGGGTGAGAGGGGAGAGGGGGGAGAGTGAGAGGGGGAGAGAGGGGGGAGGGAGAGGGGGGTGAGGGGGGGGTGAGGGGAGAGGGGGGGTGACGAGGGGGGGGGGTTGAGAGGGGGGGTGAGTGAGAGGGTGAGAGAGGGGGGGGTGAGGGGAGAGGGGGGTGAGAGGGGGGGGTGAGGGGGAGAGAGGGGAGAGAGGGGGGGTGAGAGGGGAGAGGGGGGGGTGAGGGGAGAGGGGGGGTGAGGGGGGGGGGGGGTGAGGGGGGGGGGTGAGGAAGAAGGGTGAGAGGGGAGAGGGGGGGGTGAGGGGAGAGGGGGGGGTGAGGGGAGAGGGGGGGTGAGGGGGGGGGGGGGTGAGGGGGGGGGTGAGGGAAGAAGGGTGAGAGGGAGAGGGGGGGGTGAGGGGGAGAGGGGGGTGAGGGGGGGGGGTGAGGGGGGGGGTGAGGGAAGAAGGGGGTGAGGGGAGAGGGGGGGGTGAGGAGAGAGGGGGGGTGAGAGGGGAGAGAGGGGGGCGGTGAGGGAGAGGGGGGGTGAGGGAAAGAGGGGGTGAGGGAGAGGGGGGGTGAGGGGAGAGGGGGGGTGAGGGGGGTGAGAGGGGAGAGGGGGGGGGTGAGAGAGGGGGGGGGTGAGGGGAGAGGGGGGGTGAGGGAAGAAGGGGGTGAGGGGAGAGGGGGGGGTGAGAGGAGAGAGAGGGGGGGGGGGTGAGAGGGGAGAGGGAGGGGGGAGAGAGGGGGGGGGGTGAGGGGAGAGGGGGGGTGAGGGAAGAAGGGGGTGAGGGGAGAGGGGGGGGGGTGAGGGGAGAGGGGGGTGAGAGGAGGTGAGAGGGGGAGAGGGGGGGGTGAGAGAGGGGGGTGAGAGAGGGGGGTGAGAGGGGGGGGTAAGGGGGTGAGAGGGGAGAGGGGGGAGAGTGAGAGGGGAGAGAGGGGGAGGGAGAGGGGGGTGAGGGGAGAGGGGGGGGTGAGAGGGGGGGTGAGAGGGGGGGTGAGAGGGGGGGGTGAGAGGGGGGGGTGAGGGGAGAGAGGGGTGAGAGGGGGGGGTGAGAGGGGAGGGGGGGGTGAGTTGAGTAATCAAAAGCTTCCTCTATCCGGCGTATCACACTGGTCAACACACTTTTTCTGGCACAAGGTATTCCCACAGTAATAAGGTCATTTTGGGGGGTGCTGATTCCAAATCTGGCATCAGTTTTTGTCTATCACGTCAGGTTTTTGAGATATCAAATATTGCATTTTCAATAAAAACTCCGGAAGAAAAAAATTAAATGTGGATATCTACATAAAATGATATTATAAACACACTCTCCTAAAAATACAGCACCATATTTTAACACTAAAGCAGTCACTGACTCGCAACAACTTGCAATCATAAGTGACGCAGTTAATTTCGGGTAAAATCAATGAAAACGGGGTATGCCGATAGCATAAAAATGAGATGTGATGGAGCAAATCTGAGATCAGATTTGGAATCAGCACCCTGAAATTAGTCTAGCACAGCTGCAAAAGTCTAGGCCAGAAAAAATGTTTTGTTGACCAGTATCTATGGGTCTCTGTGGGTGTCTCTGTGGGTGTTTCTGTGGGTGTCTGTGTGGGGGTCTCTGTGGGTGTCTCTGTGGGTGTCTCTGTGTGTGTGTCTCTGTGGGTGTCTCTGTGGGTGTCTCTGTGTGTGTCTCTGTGTGTGTCTCTGTGGGTGTCTCTGTGGGTGTCTCTGTGGGTGTCTCTGTGGGTGTCTCTGTGGGTGTCTCTGTGGGTGTCTCTGGGGTGTCTCTGTTGGTGTCTCTGTTGGTGTCTCTGTGGGGGTCTCTGTGTGTGTTTCTGTGGGTGTCTCTGTGGGTGTCTGTGTGGGGGTCTGTGTGGGGGTCTCTGTGAGTCTCTTTGGGTGTCTCTGTGGGTGTCTCTGTGTGTCTCTGTGTGTGTGTCTCTGGGGTGTCTCTGTGGGTGTCTCTGTGGGTGTCTCTGTGGGTGTCTCTGTGGGTGTCTCTGTGGGTGTCTCTGTGGGTGTCTCTGTGGGTGTCTCTGTGGGTGTCTCTGTGGGTGTCTCTGTGGGTGTCTCTGTGGGTGTCTCTGTGGGTGTCTCTGTGGGTGTCTCTGTGGGTGTCTCTAGCATAAAAATGAGATGTGATAGAGCAAATCTGAGATCAGATTTGGAATCGGCACCCTGAAATTAGTCTAGAACAGCTGCAAAAGTCTAGGCCAGAAAAAAAATGTTTTTTTTGGTTGATCAGTGTCATCAATGTGTCTGCTGCTGTGTCAGCCACTGACGGCGTGGGTGACCACGTGGGTGACCACGTGGGTGACCACGTGGGTGACCACGTGGGTGACCACGTGGGTGACCACGTGCTCACCAGTTTGTCTCGGTCCTCAACCGACTGGAGGTACTGAGCTTCGCCTTCATGGGACTCATCTCGCTTCTTGAGGTACGGCTCGATGGACTTGTACTGAGCGTAGAAGTTACTCATGTCCTGTACACGGTGGGGGGGGGGGGGGGAGGGGAGAAGGGTGGGTGGGTTAGTGGGTGGGTGAGTGAGTGGGTAGGTGAGCGAGTGGGTGAGTGGGTGGGTGAGTGGGTGGGTGAGTGAGTGGGTGGGTGGTTGAGTGAGTGGGTGGGTGAGTGAGTGGGTGGGTGGGTGAGTGAGTGGGTGGGTGAGTGAGTGGGTGGGTGGGTGGGTGAGTGGGTGAGTGAGTGAGTGGGTGGGTGCGTGGGTGAGTGATTGAGTGAGTGGGTGAGTGAGTGGGTGATTGAGTGAGTGGGTAGATGGGTGAGCGTGTGGGTGAGTGGGTGAGCGTGTGGGTGAGCGTGTGGGTGAGCGGGTGAGGTGAGCGTGCGGGGATGAGCGTGTGGGTGAGCGTGCGGGTGAGCGTGTGGGTGAGCGTGCGGGTGAGCGTGTGGGTGAGAGTGTAGGTGAGCGTGCGGGGATGAGCGTGCGGGTGAGCGTGCGGGTGGGCGAGTGGTTAAGCGTGTGGGTGAGCGTGTGGGCGACTCACGGGAACCAGGTCCTTGATGACGTACATGTGCGGCAGGGGGTAGACACGCGACGCCTTGCCCAGGCCCGTGTCGATCTTGCAGGTGCAGGCGAGCGTGTTGATGCCGTCGATGTTCATGGCACACGACCCGCAGATTCCTGCACGTCAACAACGTCGTCGTCGTCAACAACGTCTAAGTGATGACCATCAACACAGTCAACAACGCCGTCAACAACGCCGTCAACAACGCCGTCCCAACCCCCCCCCCCCGCGTGTGGGTGTATGTATGAGTTTGTGTGATAGTGTGTGTGTGAGTGTGTGTGTGTGAGTGTGTGTGTGAGTGTGTGAGTGAGTGTGTGTGTGAGTGTGTGTGTGTGTGCGAGTGTGTGTGTGAGTGTGTGTGTGTGCGAGTGTGTGTGTGTGTGAGTGTGTGTGTGAGTGTGTGTGATAGTGTGTGTGTGAGTGTGTGTGTGTGTGCGAGTGTGTGTGTGTGCGAGTGTGTGTGTGTGATAGTGTGTGTGTGAGTGTGCGAGTGTGTGTGCGAGTGTGTGTGTGATAGTGTGTGTGTGATAGTGTGTGTGTGTGTGAGTGAGTGTGTGAGTGTGTGTGCGAGTGTGCGAGTGTGTGTGTGATAGTGTGTGTGATAGTGTGTGATAGTGTGTGTGTGATAGTGTGTGTGTGATAGTGTGTGTGTGTGAGTGTGTGTGTGAGTGTGTGTGCGAGTGTGCGAGTGTGTGTGTGATAGTGTGTGTGAACCGTGTGTGAGTGTGTGTGTACGTGTGTGAGTGTGTGTGTGATAGTGTGTGTGTACGTGTGTACGTGTGTGAGTGTGTGTACGTGTCTGTGAGTGAGTGCGTGAGTGAGGTGTGTGTGAGTGCGCGAGTGTGCGTGCGAGTGTGCGAGTGTGTGTGTGATAGTGTGTGTGAACGTGTGTGTGTACGTGTGTGAGTGTGTGTGTGATAGTGTGTGTGTGCGAGTGTGTGTGTGATAGTGTGTGTGTGATAGTGTGTGTGATAGTGTGTGTGATAGTGTGTGTGATAGTGTGTGTGTGATAGTGTGTGTGTGATAGTGGTGTGTGAGTGTGTGTGCGAGTGTGTGAGTGTGTGTGTGATAGTGTGTGTGAACGTGTGTGAGTGTGTGTGTACGTGTGTGAGTGTGTGTGTGATAGTGTGTGTGTACGTGTGTACGTGTGTGAGTGTGTGTGTGTGAGTGAGTGCGTGAGTGAGTGTGTGTGAGTGCGCGAGTGTGCGTGCGAGTGAGTGTGTGTGTGTGTACGTGTGCGAGTGTGTGTGAGTGTACGTGTGTGTACGTGTGCGAGTGTGAGTGAGTGTGTTTGTGAGTGTGTGTGCGAGTGCATGCGAGTGCGAGTCTGTGAGGTCTGACCTTCCCTGCAGGACCGGCGAAAGGTCAGCGTGGGGTCGACCTCGTTCTTGATCTTGATCAGCGCGTCCAGAACCATGGGCCCACAGCTGGACACAAACACAAAGATCCCCCGTGTAGCCTCAACAGACTGCTGGGGCAAGTGCTGTTAGCGAGTAGCAGCAGCGCCTTTGAAGGCGATCGGCACTGTGGCACAGCATCACCACACCCGGCCGCCTTTGTCTCCCCGACCGGCAAAGTCTACTACACACCATGGCACTCGTTCGGAGACTACCAAACAACAGGGAGTGGTTCTTCTTCTGAACAAAACAAGTATAACCCGTAAAAACAAAGTTTTTCACAATGAATCCTTTATATGCGTGGCGGCTAGAGTCCTCTCGTCCTCTGGCTTGAGATGGCTGCCACCTATGGGTCAGATGATTGTCTGCCAGTATTAAGCAATTGGTAATTAAATATTTAATTATTTTCCCTAAACAGTGTAAAATTTAGGAATTTTTTTTCACGAACATTAATTGTCTCGCACAACGAGTCTGTGTGCAAAATGTCAGCTCGATTGGATCACGGGAAGTGGGTTAAAAAACGACCGAAAGATTTGCACGGTCGTAAGCAAGCAAGCAAAAGCACGCAAGCAAGCGAACTTAATATAAAGGATTTAAAAAATGAAGCGTTGCGTAACGCTGTGTGGAAGCTACCTGGTCTGTCGCTCCGCACGAAGCTTCAAGTCTTCTTGGCCACGGTCATTCCCTCCCTTCTCTACGCTTGCGAAACGTGGACCCCCCTAATGGAGCATCTTCGCCTATTGGAAACATTTAAGCTGGCCTGCCTACGATCCATCCTGGGTTTAACCAGCAGGCTGGATTGTGCGAGGAGCTCACAAATCCTTGAAAGATCTGGGCAAAGTCCCATCGGTGAGCTCCTCCGGCAGGCAAGGCTGCGTTGGCTGGGTCATGTCGCCCGCATACCCAGCCACCGCATGCCTAAACAGCTTTTGTTCGGTCGGATCGAGGGGGCTAAACGGGCGCGGCACGGGCTAGAGAAGAGACGGAGTGATGTGGTACAGGAGGATGTGGAGCTGAGTGCACTTGCCAATGACTGGTACCAGCGGTGTCAAGATCGGCCTCTGTGGAGGAGGCTCGTGAAGGACGCTACTGGGGAGTTGGAGGCAGTCGCCCTCCAACAACAACGGAGGGCGGAGGAGCGACGCTCACAACAACGAGCGGAGCGCCGGGTGGGTAAAGCACAGCAAGTTGGCACAGTAGGGGGCACAGGTGGTGCATCAGCCAGTCGTCTCAGTCAGTCGACCTGTGGCTCCTGCTGGGTCTGCCCCGTGACCTCCTGCCAGCGGGCGTTCGACACTTCACGTGGCCTTAAGGTGCACATGGCCTGGCACAAGCGGTGTGGTGACGTCACTGCCACTTAGTGGCGAATGGCGGTTGTTGTCGTGTGTGTACACGTGTGTGTATGTGTGCGTCCGTGCGCGCATGTATGTGTACGCGCGTGTGTGTGTGTATGCATGTATGCATGTATGTGTGAGGAGCGGTTCGATTCCCGGGTTCGATTCCCGCTCACAGCAAACACCAGTGACAATTATCTGAACCGGTCCTGGGCCTCCCCTAGGTCGACTCGGCCTCAAATGAGTACCTGGTGCGGTGTGTAAACATCGCCACTAGGGAGACAAAGGCGGCCGGGCGTGGTGCTGGCCACCCACCCCCTCGTGTGCCGTGCCAGCCTTCATAGGTGATACTCGCTAACAGCACTTGCCCCTACAGTCTGTTAAGACTATACGGGGGATCTTTATCTTTGATCTTTGTCCATGTATGTGTCCATGCCCGTGTGTGTGTGTGTGTGCATGCGTGTGCATGCGTGTGTGTGTGCATGGGTGTGTGTGCATTCGTGTGTATGTATGCATGTGCGTGTGCATGCGTGTGCGTGCATGTATGTGTGCATGTCCGCGCGTGCGTGTGTATGCATGCGTGCGTGTGTATGCATGCATGCGTGCGTATGCATGCGTGCGTATGCATGCGTGCGTATGCATGCGTGCGTATGCATGCATGCGTGTGTATGCATGCATGCGTGTGTATGCGTGCGTGTGTATGCGTGCGTGTGTATGCGTGCGTGTGTATGCGTGCGTGTGTATGCGTGTGTATGCGTGCGTGTGTATGCATGCATGCGTGTGTATGCATGCGTGCGTATGCGTGTGTATGCATGCGTGTGTATGCGTGTGTATGCATGCGTGCGTATGCGTGTGTATGCATGCGTGTGTATGCATGCGTGCGTATGCGTGTGTATGCATGCGTGCGTATGCATGCATGTGTATGCATGCGTGTGTATGCATGCGTGTGTGTGCATGCGTGTGTGCATGTCCGCGCGTGCTTTACGCGTTCAGGTCCACGTCGAAAGTCTGCACCCTGGGCTTGTCGCCGCTCTTGTCCGGGTCCCAGCGGTAGATGCTGAACTTTTTGATGCGGGGAGCCGGAGGTGGCGGCGGTGGCAGCGGCGGGGAGACCCCCACGGAGGACGCTGCCGCCACGGTGGCCGGACGCGTCGACTGCAGAGGGGCAAAGGCGTCCCGTGTAGCCCGAACGTCACTCGCTCGTACGCACTCTCGCTCACCGACTAAACTACTCGCTCATTTATACACAATTATACCGACTCAAACACTCACTGACTCACTCATTTATAAACACTTATACTCACTCAGCCACTCACTGACTCACTCAACCACTCACTTATACACACTTTCACTCACTCAAACACTCACCGACTCACTCATCTATACACACTTATACTCACTCAACCACTCACTGACTCACTCAACCACTCACCGACTCACTCAACCACTCACTCATCTATACACACTTATACTCACTCAACCACTCACTGACTCACTCAACCACTCACTCATCTATACACACTTATACTCACTCAACCACTCACTGACTCACTCATATATACACACTTATACTCACTCAACCACTAACTGACTCACTCACTTATACACACTTATACTCACTCAACCACTCACTGACTCACTCATTTATACACACTTATACTCACTCAACCACTCACTGACTCACTCAACCACTCACTTATACACACTTTCACTCACTCAAACACTCACCGACTCACTCATCTATACACACTTATACTCACTCAACCACTAACTGACTCACTCACTTATACACACTTATACTCACTCAACCACTCACTGACTCACTCATTTATACACACTTATACTCACTCAACCACTCACTGACTCACTCATTTATACACACTTATACTCACTCAACCACTCACTGACTCACTCAACCACTCACTTATACACACTTTCACTCACTCAAACACTCACCGACTCACTCATCTATACACACTTATACTCACTCAACCACTCACTGACTCACTCAACCACTCACCGACTCAATCAACCACTCACTCATCTATACACACTTATACTCACTCAACTACTCACTGACTCACTCAACCACTCACTCATCTATACACACTTATACTCACTCAACCACTCACTGACTCACTCATTTATACACACTTATACTCACTCAACCACTCACTGACTCACTCAACCATTCACTCATTTATACACACTTATACCGACTCAACCACTCACTCATTTATACACACTTATACTGACTCAAACACTCACTTATACTCACTCACTGACTCACTCAACCACTCACCGAGTCACTCATCTATACACACTTATACTCACTCAACCACTCACTGACTCACTCATCTATACACACTTATACTCACTCAACCACTCACTGACTCACTTAACTATACACACTTATACTCACTCAACCACTCACTGACTCACCCACTCACCCAACCACTCACACACGGATACAGGCAAAGGTCCACCGTGTAGCTTCTAACACTGTTGGGGCAAGCGCTGCTATGAGCAGGTAGCAGCAGCGCCTGTTAAGGCCAGGCACTGAAGCACACACACACAGGGGATGGGTGGGTGGTGTGGCCAGCACCATAACGCCACGCACACGCCCAGCCGCCTTTGTCTCCCCCAGTGCCGATGTTCTCGACACATCATGGGTACCAGGTGGAACTCATTTGGGCTCGTCCGTCACTGCTGGGACGTGAAGGTCAAATTACTCACGCAATGCCGAGCATCCTCATATGAACTGGTCGGGTGACACGAGGGTAGGCAGGGTTTCACAATGGCCGTGTCGGCGATACTGAGATACTGGATTCAAGCCCTGGGTCTCTCCCTCTCTCTCAGGGGGTTCACAATGGCCGTGTCGGAGACATTGAGATACTGGGTTCAAGCCCTGGGACTGGGTGTCTCTCTCTCAGGGGATTCACAATGGCCGTGTCGGCGACTTTGAGATCCTGGGTTCAAGCCCTGGGTGTCTCTCTCTCTCAGGGGGTTCACAATGACCGTGTCGGCGACACTGAGATACGGGGTTCAAGCCCTGGGTCTCTCTCTCTCAGGGGGTTCACAATGGGCGTGTCGGAGACACTACTGAGATCCTGGGTTCAAGCCCTGGGTCTCTCTCTCTCTCAGGGGGTTCACAATGGCCGTGTCGGAGACACTGAGATACTACTGGGTTCAAGCCCTGGGTCTCTCTCTCTCTCAGGGGGTTCACAATGGCCGTGTCGGCGACACTGAGATACTAGGTTCAAGCCCTGGGTGTCTCTCTCTCTCAGGGGGTTCACAATGACCGTGTCGGAGACACTGAGATACTGGGTTCAAGCCCTGGGTCTCTCTCTCTCAGGGGGTTCACAATGACCGTGTCGGAGACACTGAGATACTAGGTTCAAGTCCTGGGTCTCTCTCTCTCAGGGGGTTCACAATGGCCGTGTCGGAGACACTGAGATACTGGGTTCAAGCCCTGGGTCTCTCTCTCTCTCAGGGGGTTCACAATGACCGTGTCGGAGACACTACTGAGATCCTGGGTTCAAGCCCTGGGTCTCTCTCTCTCTCTCTCAGGGGGTTCACAATGACCGTGTCGGAGACACTACTGAGATACTGGGTTCAAGCCCTGGGTGTCTCTCTTTCTCAGGGCGTTCACAATGGCCGTGTCGGCGACACTGAGATACTGGGTTCAAGCCCTGGGTGTCTCTCTCTCTCAGGGGGCTCACAATGACCGTGTCAGAGACACTGAGATACTGGGTTCAAGCCCTGGGTCTCTCTCTCTCAGGGGGTTCACAATGACCGTGTCGGAGACACTGAGATACTGGGTTCAAACCCTGGGTGTTTCTCTCTCAGGGGGTTCACAATGACCGTGTCGGAGACACTGAGATACTAGGTTCAAGTCCTGGGTCTCTCTCTCTCAGGGGGTTCACAATGACCGTGTCGGAGACACTACTGAGATCCTGGGTTCAAGCCCTGGGTCTCTCTCTCTCAGGGGGTTCACAATGGCCGTGTCGGAGACACTGAGATACTGGGTTCAAGCCCTGGGTCTCTCTCTCTCTCTCAGGGGGTTCACAATGGCCGTGTCGGAGACACTACTGAGATCCTGGGTTCAAGCCCTGGGTCTCTCTCTCTCTCAGGGCGTTCACAATGGCCGTGTCGGCGACACTGAGATACTGGGTTCAAGCCCTGCGTCTCTCTCTCTCTCTCAGGGGGTTCACAATGACCGTGTCGGAGACACTACTGAGATACTGGGTTCAAGCCCTGGGTCTCTCGCTCTCTCTCAGGGGGTTCACAATGACCGTGTCGGAGACACTACTGAGATACTGGGTTCAAGCCCTGGGTCTCTCTCTCTCTCAGGGGGTTCACAATGACCGTGTCGGAGACACTGAGATCCTGGGTTCAAACTCTGGGTCTCTCTCTCTCAGGGGGTTCACAATGACCGTGTCGGAGACACTGAGATCCTGGGTTCAAGCCCTGGGTCTCTCTCCCTCTCTCCAGGGGGTTCACAATGGCCGTGTCGGCGACATGAGATCCTGGGTTCAAGCCCTGGGTCTGGGTGTCTCTCTTTCTCTCTCAGGGGATTTCACGATAGCCAATACGGAGACACTACTGAGATTCTGGGTTCAAGCCCTGGGGTGGTGGTGTCTCTCTCAGGGGGGTTCATAATGAATGTGGCGGAGACCCTGAGAACCTGGGTTCGAGAACCTGGGTCGGGCAGCGGCTCGGAGAGATATACATGAGAACAGGCCAACACTAAGTTCTTACAATAACTTGTAACATTCCAACACAGTTATACAAGAACCCTTGTTACACCAACACTAAGTTATGCAAAACATTGTAACATTCCA